TTTTTTTTTTTTGTTTTTTTTTTTTTTTTTTTTTTTTTTTTTTTTTTTTCATTTGTTTTGAGTCGGATAGAAGACTGTAATGTAGAACTACAAAAAATTTTGGGTTTTTTTAGACTGTAAAACCACACAGGTGTTGGATAAGGGGAAAAACCCATGATTTTCTGGATTTAATGGCCATTTTACTGAAATTAATATTTTACACACCCAAGACTAGGTCTAGGATGTTTTAGTTCAAATGGAATTGAGTGGTGAAGGAAGAAGGGCTTTATTTTCTGCCAGCTGATTCAAAATTTTCATTCCAGAAAAGTGAACATTTTTTTTTTTTTTTTTTTTNTAAACCTTATAATTAATTATATTTATGATAATAATGTCAACATTTGAATTGCATTTTGAAAACACAAGCAGTTAGGGAATATAACAAAATCATATTATGCTCGTGCAAAACCAAAATCAGAGTTGAATTATAGCGAATACAGTGATGAGTGCGAACACGAATTTGGTTTTCATTGGAAGGTGCAAGTTCGTCACAGCAACATATAGGGGTGTGGCGTTTGGATTAATGTTGTGCGGCGTTTGGATTAATGTTGTGCTGTCACAACGCACACGTCACAATTTGTGACATGGTGGTGTGGGGTCATATGTGAATATCATACCATAAGTTAGATCTTGATAGCCAATCATGTGTCGGGGGATATCTATCTGATCGAATTTTAAATTAGATTCACGATGATAAAATCGATCTCCCTTGAGCACATTTGTTTAACAAGATGGGATTAGACAAATTTTATCTAGACGTTTAAGATTAAATTGTAGAGATAGGACTACACTTAGGTTTGTTATCTTTGATTTACTCAAGATAAGATTATCTTGTTATTTGGTTTATGTGTTTGTTTCCTTGGACAAAGAATAGGATTAGGTATACATTTATCAATTTAACCCACATATTAAACTTTTTTTTTTTCATTTCTCAATGGTGATCTGCGTGTATTTTAAGTTNGGTTTATTTGCACATATATATATATATCACAACATTTATTTTAAATGCAATTTAAGCACAAATTTCTAATTTTGGCAACTTAAGGACACTCTGTTTATTTATTTATTTATTTTTTTTGGAAAAACGAAATATGGAAAATACTGGGATTTTTAAATGAATTGAAAACTATGCACCAAAATTCCGAAGTCCACTCTCATGTCCAGCACCAAATAATGCTCTCATCAAGCCAGGTGTCTTTTTCCTCACACACCCGATACCAAAATTTACCGAATTCTGCTCTTCCTTTTTTATTTTTATTTTTTATTTTTTTGCCTTTCTCTGCACACCCACACTGCAACACGTTAAAATCACAAACCAAATTTCTCAAAATCACAAATCAATTCACCTTCCCATTATTAATTTTTGCACAACACCACAAATTCCACTAGATTTTGTTTCATGTTGCTTTTTCTTTTCCGGTGCAAGTCAGCCAGAAATATATGGTGGTTGTGGCAAGATTTTTTATTGAATGTGGTCGAGAGGCTGCCAAGGAAGGAGGGTCATTCGGACATGGATGACGGCTCACAAATCCATGAATCATAAACCAACGGTGAGCGGCGGCCAGATCTCGAAGAAAATAATTTTTTGGTTACAACAGGGCAAGGAAACGACACTCCGTCTTTGCTATTGTGAATGATTTTTGTGAGTGTTAGGTAAATGGCAGAAGATGTAAATTTCACTTGACAGAGGTTAATATGGTCAAAATTGTTTACCTTTAGGGACGCTTTGGTAAATTCAGACATTTAATACTGTAAAGACAACAAAATCTTACCTACAAGGCAAGATCAAATAATCTTGGTTTCCCATGAAAAAAAACATTGTACATCGCGGGCTTCAAGTTATCTTGCGGGCCAAAATCTAGGTAAACAAACGCCGAATAAATGGTAGATTAATGGTTCAATCTTGTCATGTCCTGGATAACAAACGAGCTCCTTATGTAGGTAGGTATAAAAGTCCTCGTCAAGTTGAATTGCAACACTTTTCTTGTGAGTTGTGACTGAAATTTGAACTACACATATCTTACATATTTTATAAAAAATTAAAAAATAACCAAATATGTTTAATTGAATTACGGTGACCAAATTTATATGAATTTGTAGTATCGATCAACTTATAGAAAAGTGTTGGGCTTATAAGAGTAAGTTTGATAGATATAGTGTGAATTTCCACATTGTTTATAATAAGAGTGTTTGTTAAGTTAGATTTATTGAAACTAGTAGACAATCTGTTTAAGAAAGACATTCTCCAGTCGATATGTTAGAAAGAATAGATAATTTATCTGGTACATTGAAACAATTACCTTTATGATAAAATGTCTAATCCACACTGTGAATAACAAAAAGAAAATTACTGGTAGTACTTATGTGAGGGTACTACCAGTAGGGATAGCATCGAATCCACCGTTTGATTTGAATAGCGTGAATTTCCACATAGTTTATTGAGTGTTTGTTAAGTTAGACTTATTGAAACAAATACTTTTTTGAAGAGATGTATATAAAAGCGTTATTTATAGTTTCAATAAAATAAAAAATGTCACAAAAAATTAAATTAAATAAAAAAAATATACTTCCTCTTATTTTTAATAAATGTCGTTTTAAAAAGTTGTACAGTAATATAGAGTCATTTTTTTGTCAATAATAACCCTCATTAAGGAAGATAGAGATGGATGTTTTAAGAAAAGATGAAGAGTGAATATGAGAAGACGTAGTGTATTTATTAGATATATGAGGGTATTAATGTAAAAATATGTATAAAAGATCCAAAACTATATTTATTTAGTAAATTGTTGACAAAGTCAAAATGATATTTAAAAAAAATAAGAAGTTAGTAAATTGTTGAAAAAATCAAAATAACATTTAACAAAAATAGGAGGGAGTATAATTGTTTTTGGCAAAGTTATCCATGTCGCGTTGGGAATGGCAAGCAAAGCACACTGACACGGCTTTTGGTACATATATTGGCGCGCAGAGACAGTTAGAAAATCAAACCACTCATCAAAAATTAGAAAGAAAAACACAAAAAGAAGGGTAGATTTTGGTTTGCGACAGCCATGGGAGCACCGCATTATATGGTCCCCTTATCTGCCCATTCCCAATTTCCCCCTCCATTTTCGCTCCCACTTTCAAACTAACCCTTTGTTTTTTTTCCCCAATTACCTTTTCCCTTCTCTCTCACATTAATATCCATTTGATATTTGCACGATATTTTCTGTTTGCTATCTTTCTCTGTAATTTGTCCTTCTTTTACATGGTTTTGACCTCGATTTTTCTTTTTTTTTTCGCACGGTGTTGTGATCGTTGATCTTGAATTTCTCGATTGCCTTTTGGGGATTCTTTTCTTCTCATTTTCCGCTTTCCTGGTTAGATATGCTTCGGATTTTAAAGGTGAATGATGATATCGTTTGATCAACTGTGAAAAGGTGCTGATTTTTGTTTCATATGCAAGAGGGAAAGATGTATTTCGCAAGGCTAGACGATTCACCTATGTTTCGGCAGCAGGTTAATTATTTCTCTGTTCCCAGTTTAATTATTCAATCAAGAGGTCTGCCTAGTTTGATGCAGATGACCAATTTTATGTTCAGTCAATAATAAGTAAAAATTGTGATGGAACTCTCGATTTATTCAGTTTTATGCGTGGGGATCATAAGAAAGTAGGGGTTATTTAACTTTCACCATCATGAAAAATCACTTTTTGCTAGCTGGGGAGTTGGTTATTGAGGCTTCATGATTATTCAGAGCACGATAGTTTTGCAGTAAACTTGACATATTTGATTGACTAGAGTCTGATTAACTGGTGAGATGTGTATTGATGAGAAAAGAAAAAGAAGAAAAAACAAAAATATTGGAAGATGAAAGAAGGGTAGCTGTAAAAATGGTCATGTGTACATTGGAAGTGCTGCTCTTTGGGTAAAGTGAGTGTAACGAAAACTTGTCTTCAGGGGTAAACTGGGAATGTAAGTCTTTTCTGGTACTGCCAGTATTTTGCAAGCTGGACGCTGTCTTACTGAAATTCATTATTTAAGTAATTACGTAAATTGTGTGGCTGTTTTGTGTTCTGGCAATATTTCGGAGGTTCCTAGTAAATGTATCTATAAACTTCCTTCTATGCATACACATTTAGGAACTGGTATGTTTGCAACTGAAATCTTCAGCCTCAATAAACTTGCATCACTTTAATAATTCACATCACCTTGATTAACATGCGCCGTCTTGGATGAACAAGCAGATCCAATTAATGGAAGAAAGTGCTGAAATATTGAGGGACAGAAGTCTTAAGTTTCATAAAGGATGTCGAAAGTACATGTAAGTATTACAGCATGATTTTTCATGTTCTTCATATTTTTCTTGGACTAGTTATAGTTAATCTTTATTAAATGAAACCTGTCATATTCTTTTAAGCATGAGTCTGACCTTATGTTTTCTTGACCCCCAACTTTGCAGTATCCATGTTTATGTATGTATATGTACTATCTGTGTGAGTATAAATGCACAGTTATGTGAATGTGAATGCAGATATATAATATCGATTTTGTAGGCATTCAAGCAACTGGATACTATTATGCTGCTTTCTGTATTCCAAATTTAGTATAGGTGTTACCTAAGTAAAGCATGTCTATATTTTTCCTCTAAATTCTATTGTCAGCAAAAAATGGGAATACTACTCATTTGTAACTACCAAATTTATATAATAGAGAAACTAGAAGAATTTACATTTCTGAGTACGTCATTATATCATCCATCCACCGATCCATTTCTTCTTTCATGATTGCATCTTAATTTCTCTTGTTTTATTTGCTCGGGAGTGGAGATAGATGTTTCTTTCTGTTCTGCAACATCTTTTTAGCTTGCCCTGGTACTTTAGGTGCACATTCAAAGATTTAAAGGTTGTGGCCTTAAACAGATCTTTGGATTAAATGTTCATGGTTTTACATTGATGTTGTGTTAAAAGAATTTTCTAGCTTAATTTTTTTTTGGCTACCTTCCTATTTGGAGTTCCTATAGTTGCTGACTCGCTTCAAGGAAAATGGATTAATATCTTAATTTCCTATGCAAGAGCTTGTTCTCTACGCATCGGACTATATCTTATTTTTGCTGCCTTTTCTCCATCTTCCTGTTACACTCATTGCGAAAAAGTGGACATGCCCCTTACTTTCTATTACATTAGTCAAGCCTAAAGGATCATTATTATCATATATTGAGTTTGTGGCATGGGCTTCTTACCTAATATGATATTGGAGCTCGTTCCCACTTTTTTGTAGCTATTTGAGCTACTAAGACCAGTAAAGCCCCAATAATATTTCTTTTCAAGTGTAGCTACAATCACTCAACCCTTGCCAGGAATGAGCTCCATGTTGTAAGTCTCTTAAGAAGAGCTTGTTCTAGTATTAGTTTAGTTAGAAAGGTTATCCCTGACCCCTTTAGGACTGAAGTGTTTAGCTCATTAGCTGCAAGAATATGGTTTATTCGAATATATACCCAATAATTTGTGGGCTGAGCAAACCAAAGGGATTAACGTACCAAAGGGTTGCTGAGAAAGAAGGGATTATCTGACATTATTTCGTTTCTTACATGTCATTGCAAAGAGTATTCTGATATGATATTGGTTTTGTGTATATATGTATTTTTAAATGTTTCTTGCATTTGGTAATTCCAAACTTTTGTGTATAAGTTACCGATGATAAATTGTTAATAGCAATTTCTTTCCACTAACATTCTTTTTATTTCTGTTTCGATTCACAGCGATGGGCTTGGAGAGGCCTATGATAGAGATATTGCATTTGCAAGTGCACTTGAAACTTTTGCAGGAGGACATCACGATCCTATATCCGTAGCATTTGGAGGTATAGATAACATGCTTATTTTCTTCCTATCTTAATATGGGGGTCCCTTCAAGATAGAGTTATTTTGTCTTTGCACATGTTCAAAAGCACGATATCTCTTTCCTATCTAGTTGGCTCAGAATATAGTATTTCTCATGGTGATTCAGTTGTTTCTCTTTGACAGTATGTGCCTTGGCACTGGTTAAACATCTAATATGCATGCACTTAAGAAAGTCAATTATTTATGCTCAGTGGTGAACATGAGCTTTAAGACTTCACCGCCTCTTGAAATTTGTCAAAATTTTGATGTCGCTTTAGGTTTTGGGAAAAACTTGCTCGGATATATAATACCAAGGCAAAAATACTTTAGGATCAAAACAATTAGTCAAACCTCTTGTGCAAGTAACACCTCTGATTCTGTNNAAAACCATTCTTTCTTTAAGATGCAAAATCTTCTTCAATTTGTTACATTCACCATAAGGAAAATTCCTTTACGATGACATAAGTTGTATAGAAATTACGAAGCTGTTACCTTTCTGAGATTGATCAGCTTTCTATTGGGCTCTCCTTGGAACACAAATGTCTAAATTTCATTCATTATTATACAAGAGCACTTCTTCTATGTACTACAAGATACTGATACCATAGTAACTAATTTGACCTGATATTTCAGTGATTTTTTTTTTTAGCTCTAGCTTAAAAAAAACTACCTGGAATGGAGAAACAAAACCAAATTATGTATCCTACAACATTTCCTTTTTTTAGAAACTGACAGAATGAAATTATGTCGGTTTTTGATTAATGCTGCTTCTGTTTTTAGGTCCTGATATGGCAAAGTTTGCAATTGCACTGAGAGAAATTGGAACTTACAAGGAAATTCTGCGAGCACAGGTATGAATTTCATCGGTGTTGTTATGAGGTTGTTCATATTGTTTCTTCCGAGAAGGCAAACTAGTATAGCTTTTGACTCACTATTATTTCACCAGTCTGCTTAGGTCTTCATAAGATCATTGTTTCTTAGTCACAGTATCTGCTTATTTTTTCTTCTCAAACTATGTGGGGGATATGATTGTACTCAGTAAACATGATAGTTTATATCCTTTTCACCATGATAGTTTACTAACACTTTTCACTTGTATCTCCTAGGTAGAGAATATGCTGAGTGACAAACTCGTAGAATTTGCCACTGTTGATCTTCAAGACGTCAAGGTACTTCAAATGAAATCTCTGTTCCATTTGTTTTAGTTTTTGGTTGCTTTCAAATTTTGTTATATGAGCTATTTCTGCTGACAGTGGCATTATGTTTTACCTATATATTACCATCTATATTTTTCAAAGTTTCTTCTCGGAGATTATATTCTAACTTGGAAAGTTTTTATTGCATGCGGATTTGAATCTTCTTCTTGGGGTTCTTTGAAGTTGGAACCATCTAAGCAAATGAGAAAAAATAAACATCTTTCCTTAAGTTGCAGCATGAGCTAATTTCAAAATGGAGCAATTATAGAAGGATTGGAGAAGCTTCTTATATTTATGTCTGAAGCTTCTTTGTAATCAGATGAAAAGGAATTTTTGCTCCAAGATTAACCATTATCCGATCTTTTATCAGAAAGCCGATTTTTTTAAACGCATTCTGTTGCTAAGATTTGGTAAGAATTGGATAGAAGCATGCAAAATTTTAAATAGAGGCTTAAATTCAATTACTGTTCACAAGTAGACAAATTGTTTGTTTTTTCACGAAAGCTTTAGATTAAATAATTTTTGACTTTGTTAACAGATCTTCCAAATAAAGGTGAGAAGTTTTGTAATAAAATAAAGGATGGGGATTTAGGTATTTCTGTTACTCGGTTTAGAATTTGCTTCATGTAAATTTGTGTTGATGGTAGGTGTTGAATGTGCAGGTAAATTATTTTGTTTTTCTAATTCATTCTTTTGATTTATTCTACCTCATTTTGAACTCGAGGGTTTAATAGACATTACATAAATTTGGGTACATGTGCAGGAAGCCCACAAGCGCTTTGACAAAGCCACTGTTATCTATGACCAGGTATGGACCTATCGATAATGTATCATTAATTCAGCAGTAAAATAAAGCTTCACATTGGCTTTAGTGCTTATATAATGTTTTCCTGTCTGCCTAAGATTTTCAATTCTTGAACACTTATTTCTGCTTCATAAAACCCTTGAATTAAGTAAACTGAACATTCCATTACATTGCATCTATAAAATTAAAATATTGATTTATATTGTACTAGATTTATGAGTACTGTGAATATTTCTCCCATAAAACACGCTGGACTAACTTCACGTTCCAGGTGCGCGAAAAGTTTCTAGCTTTGAGGAAGAGTACAAGGATGGACATAGCTACTGCCCTCGAGGAGGTATATAATCACTTTTTCTTTGTAAATTGGATGGATGTATCATTCTTTCTCAGGTGGCTGCAGCAGTTCACGTAGTTGTTATAGGTAACTATCAGTTCTTGAACTCTAATTTGGTAGAGAGACGTTCCAGGAACTTCACAATGCAAGATCAACTTTTGAGCAGACACGTTTTAACCTGGTCTGTTGATCTATTTCTAGTTATCTATCTAGTTATCTATTTCAAATTATATTGTGATAGGATAGGATCATGTTTAAGTATTCGTCTTGAATTTTGTTATGTCAATTGTTGATTACTTAACCACTCATGTCTAATGACTAGGTTAGTGCACTCTCGGCTGTTGAGGCAAAGAAGAGGTTTGAGTTTCTAGAGGCCGTTGGCAACACAATGCAGGCCCATCTTTGTTATTTCAAGCAGGTGTGTTGTCTAATGAAAATAGTGTTTATATATTGCAGTGTATTTTTGCTTATTTGTTGATTTTGAAATTCCTCATGTTGCCAGGGATATGAGCTGCTGCATCAAATGGAACCATATATTAGTCAGGTTCCTTTTTGTCATAATTCAGCTCCATAAACATTGGGTCTCCCCATCTTGTCAAAGCCTTATTATTTTCCCTGAATTTCATATTTCTAATTATTTACTTCATTGGACACATTAAAGCAGAAACTCTTAAAAATACAAGTTTCTTTGTCTTTCAGAGTTTTGTAGGTATTTACTATTTAGTAAATATACATTTCAAACAGTTAGCAGTTAGATCTCGTGGAAGCTAGTTTTTTTTCCCCTCACATTAGTATCGTCATAAGTAGCTGATCCAGTGAAGGAAGTTGGTTATTTCAAGAAATGCGTTACGTGACTAGTTATGGTATGTCCCATAGGAGGCTGTGGTCAATAATCCAAAACACAAAAGTATAGTGAAACTGTGAAGGGATTTAGCCACACCGAATTTTACTTCTTAAATTTACAATAAATACTGTGGGTTTATCTACTTTAGTCTGATATTGGAAACCTAGCAGTAAAGATGTTGATGCTGGAAAATGCGAAAGTACACACTGCACAAACTTTACATTGGAATTTATTTACTAGATTTATGATGAAAAGGTTCAGGAATATAACAATATACTAATACTAATTATCCTTAAAAGATGTATTATGCTGAGCAGCTTTCAAAAATCCCAGCTCCAATGAACTACGTCATTAGTATTTTTATGAAAGAGCTCAAGAGTATCATGCATTTATCCTTTTGGGGATAATTCTTAGATATTTATGGGAGTAGGTTTTTGATGAGCTTCTGCATCAACATTTTCTTCTGTTGGGACCTTCTTCACAGTTAACAATTAAGTGATTTTCAAATAGAAATATTTGACAGTTAGATATGTAATCTAAGAGCCACGAAAAGTGTGCTTTGGAATGTGTTGACTTGCATTGCTCAGAGACTTGCAAACTTGAGTTGGTTTGCATTCTGACTGTATAGATTCTTTTTCCACTTCTGTATAAAACATTTCCCTTCCAAACTAAGTTATTGTGATTTGACTCGAAATGAATACAAATGATATTATTATCTTCTTTTCACTATTCATGAATTCTTATTCTGTTCCTTCAGGTCTTGGCTTACGCTCAACAGGCAAGGCAAACTTCCAACTATGAGCAGTCAGCTCTCAATGAGCGTATGCAGGACTACATAAGGCAAGTTGATCAAGAAAGTCGGAGGTCTTTTAGTGGATCTCATGGTTCTCCAAGTAGAGATGCGACGCAGCCTTTTACTAGAGGCTCTCACAAATTGATAGAAGCTGTGATGCATTCTGCTGTTGAGGGAAAGGTACATATGTTAAAGTGATTTAGATCATGTTCATACTCTCATGAATCTAACTAGCACAATCCATATTACTACTGGCTCAAAAGATCATAAATGCGCAAGGAAATAAAAATAAAATATAGCTGTTATGGGCTCGGGTTGAACTCATCCCCTAAGATTGTTTCAACAGGAGAGGGTTGCCAACCAACATTTATGCTCAACAAAAATAATGAATATCAATTTCCCTTTCATGATATCGCGGATTGTGTTTTCTGGAAATTGCTATTCACATTATTCATTTTATGCATTTTACTATATTTTGAGCCAAGTTTACTATGTTTGAGCCCAAGTCCTTATTGCAACTAGGAGTTTGGTCTAAAGATATATAGCGCATAACTGATACTTCAATAGTTTAGGTACAAACCATTAAACAAGGATATCTTTCTAAACGCTCTTCCAGTTTGAGAGGTGACTGGAAAAGAAGATTCTTTGTTCTCGACAGCCGGGGCATGCTGTACTATTACCGGAAGCAGTGGAGCAGGCCAACTGTAAGTCATGAAATAAGGAAAAAGAAAGAGAATTGGATTGCTATTCACTGTGAGGTTAAGACCTTTTTTCTATCATATGAAATCCTCTGTTGGTAACTAAATCATGGCATTTTTCAGTTCCAAGGTACAAGCAGTCAGATTACTGCACATAGAATGTCCCCCTCTGAACCAGGTTCGGGGCTGTTAAGTCGGTGGCTTTCATCTCATTACCATGGCGGTGTACATGATGAAAAATCCGTTGCACGTCACACAGTGAATCTGCTCACGTCGACAATAAAAGTTGATGCAGAACAGTCGGATCTAAGATTTTGTTTCAGGATTATTTCACCCTCTAAAAATTACACTTTGCAGGCAATTCAATTTGCATCTGTTATTTTTGAGTATTGTCTTTTTCAGTGAATCCATGAAAAATGGATTATTTTTCTGCCATCTTTTCTAACAGTTGTGCAATCTCTATGGACATAATGCTTGGTGTAATTTTGATATTGTTCTCGCTTGTGTAGGCAGAAAATGCTGCAGATCAAATGGATTGGATTGATAAAATAACAGGAGTTATTACCTCTTTGCTGAGTTCACAATCACCTGAAAGGGTAACCATAATAAAAATCCTAGACTGATAAGGGCGCTGTTGGATATCCTTTCTCTTTGAAATTTACTTCCTTCTAGAGAAAGATGATTTCGAATGAAGAATGAGTTTTTCTTGAATTTCAAAAGAAAATTTAATTGAAAATAGTTAAATTAATATAAAGATCATAAAATTGTGAATGAAACTGAAAAAAAATGATATGCAATTTGAGGAGGAGGAGGAGGAGCTCCCTAAATTTTCCCCCTTTGTTTCTTTTTATTCACTTTCATGACCTTGATTGATTTGTATGTTGGCAGTTCTGCTTTAGTCCGGTTAGTGAAAATAGTTCCTTTGCAAGTCCTGATCATAATATAAGGGTCATCCAAGAATGCACATCGGAAAAGGATCATATAACAAGAGGCATGTTGCGAGTGAACAGAAGTTCCCTACAGCTGCAGAACAGCTTAAAAAATGAGAAGCCAATTGATGCATTGAAGAAATTGCCTGGTAACGATAAATGTGCCGACTGCGGTGCACCTGAACCAGATTGGGCTTCGTTGAATCTCGGGATTCTTATATGTATAGAATGCTCTGGCATTCACCGTAATCTTGGTGTGCATATATCCAAGGCAAGTAGTTCTAGTTTTTATGCACATAAGCTACATGTTTATGGTGTTGTTATTTTTTCACTCTATTCATTACTAAAAAAATTGTTTTAAGGTATATACCACTGGGGTTGGGTGGGGTTTATGTTATGTGTCTAGGGTACATCCACTAGTCACCATTGGGAAAATTCAAAACACATGAACTGATAATATGAAAAGAAGGCTCACATAGTAAAAGTTAAAGGCACTTCTTTTCTAGATCTTCCAGTGGTAACTATATGACTAATGATATCCGCGAAAAATTATTTTGTAGATCAACTTATTTCAAATGCTTTCTGTTCTTTATGGATTAAAAACTTACTTCTCTCATTTTTCACGTGCCTATTCTTATAAGTATGTATATGTATTAATTTATAATACTGAATTAAAAGAGAACGACGAAATTACCATAGCACTTGGGTAATTTATCCCTGGATGAACTCCAATTAGTCAAACCACATCCCATATCCATGGCATTCTTTCATTCATATATTCAAAATCTATTCAAAATTTAACATCGTATTCAGAACAGGCATATGAGCGTGCTTCATTCTTATATCCATTTACGCATTAGTTGTGGTAGTGAGTCATTTCGTATTTCAACAAGTTAAGTTAGATGTGTCATTTTGTGAATCTTTGATCATTAGAACTTTTTAGTTGTTAGATTTATATAGGTAGAGGAAGGAGTGCGGTCCCACTGGGGGAAGCGCATCTTAAGAGGGCGAGCCTAGTTGCTGAGGTTCTGCCCCAATACAAAGGGAGTAATCCACTAGGTTTATAAATGAGCCCATTTACCCTAGAGAATCAATGTGGAAAACTCAGTGATATTCTAATGCGCCCCCTCACTTGTGACTCATGCGGTCAGTCCTTTACTTCGGTTGTAGGTTGAAAACCTATTCTAGTCATTAGCCATGGCCTAATCTCAAGGTCCCATCTAGAGCAGTCATGGGAGTGAAGTGTTTTTAAGGGCGAGCCTAGTTCAACTATGTTTCATCCCAAAACCCAAAACCAATTGGTGATGGGAGAAATAGCCAGCTAGACTTATAAAATAGGCCCGTTTAGAATTGGTGTGGTAAAATTTACAAGTGATATTCCATTATTAGTCACTCATGAAATCATGTTGATGATCTAAAATGTGAAGAAATGTTGGGGTGAAAGTACAATACTTCAATTCAAACCAATAGTTTTCCTTTTTCCTCCCCGAGTGATGTTCTTCAGTGTCTTTCATTTCTTTCTTGTTCGCTTCACCTATATCTACAGAAGTGGGCATTCAATATAATATGGAATTAAGCAGAAACAACATAATTGTTAATGCGGTTGTAAACCAAAGGCAAATTTGCCCCTAATATCACGACCTTTATCGAAGTTGCAATTTAGTCATGACCTTTTCACTTTTGCAAATTATATCACAATCTTTAGTTTGTTGCAAATAGTCTGTTTTCATAGAAAAGCTGATGTGGTCGAACAACAAACTGAAGATTGTGATATAGTTTGCACGGGATATGCAAATCGGTGTACCAATTTGCAACAAACTGAAGATTGTGATATAATTTGCAATAAGTGAAAAAGTCGTGATGAAATTGCAATTTCGAAAAAGGTCATGATATTGAGGGCAAGCCTAAACCAAATAATTGAACCACGTCGTATCTTTTGGTAAATTCTCTTGAGTTCTATCTTTTATGATTTTTGTAAAGTCGATATACATATGGAGTTGAATGCTTTTATATGTGGAAGTATCCGTGCTATATGCTTAAACAAGTGTTGGATGTGTTATATATTTGGACCTGTTAGTCACCGCAGCCTTTGTTGTTGATTTTAATGCAGGTAAGATCCCTAACTCTGGATGTGAAAGTGTGGGAACCATCTGTGATTACTTTGTTCCAGGCCCTGGGTAATGTCTTTGTAAACTCAATATGGGAAGGGTTGTTGAGAGCAAGTAGAACTGTTCAGGCAGATGAACTACCAATACGGTAAAAATTGTAAGAGTGTATTTACTTGAATGTTAGATGCTTTGTCTATGACAGTTGTAACTTTGTTTCTGTAGGTCATTTGAATCTGATAAGTACAAACAGTTTTTCAGCAAACCACACCACAATGATCATATATCAGTCAAAGAGAAGTTCATTCAGGCAAAGGTATGCTCCAAACATTAAACTCTTTTACTCCCTTTTAGTGTTTTAATATTTAGAAATATAGTTTCTGACTTTTGCAGTACTCCTACCATGATATAATTTCACTCATTTCTCATCAATACTTTCATCCTCCCGAAGCAATAATGTGCTCAATAATGTGCTCATTTTTTCCCCTGGAAATTTGGGGAGAATAATACGTAGCGCAAAAAAAATGTAAGTTCAACAAAAAAACGTGGAAGACAATTTGAACTTTTGGAGGAGCGTCCCACTCCCCTCAGAACTTTCTCATTAAGATAGTGTGCGTCACAAATAGGAATTAAGCGATAAGACTCCCTCTTACCTAACCTACTCTCTACTCCACTACCCCACCTATTTTTCTGGGCACGGTGTGGACTTGAACTGCACATATGATTCCATGAGATGCTCGCCCCAAGCACCCAATACAAAAACAAATGGTTCGAATGTACTAACTTGTTGGAATCCAAATATTCTCTCTATAAAATCTAAACAAAACTCATGAGCTCTCAATGAAAATTCTCTAAACACTCCGAGGGTGCTTGAATACCAAATATCCAATCTCTTTTAACTAATTACTTAATTTTATAACTCAAAATCTAACTCAAATTTAACTCAACTCAAACCTTCTCAATATTATCAATATAATTAAATAATACCAATCAATCATCCTCACGCATCACATCAACTTTAATTCACTGTTTATCCACTCACATAATTTTAACTACCCATTACTACCAATCACCTCTCTCCTACTTTTACATCAAATTAACTTTAATCATTTTTTTAAATATTATTTTAGTCAAACTCAAAATCCCACTAAAACCTAATCCAACCAACTTTTTTAAAATTAACCCTGGTTACCAAAAAGTACAATCAAAACTCAAACAAATTTTTATCCAAGCACACCTTCAGTATAAACAATGGAATAACTATAAACAATGGAATAGCTGGCTCAAAAAAGATAATCATTTTAATTACACTTATAATATTATATTTTTCTAACACAAATATTATTTGCAACTCTGCTAATTTGATTTAAATTTTTTAAAATTCTTTCCAAACATGATCATATGTGGTATAGATGTCAAACCGAAGATTGTCAAAAGATAATTTAATAAATCATATTTGAAAAACGGAATATAAATAAAAGAAGTTATTAATTTTTAAAATATGATAAAAAAGTATGGTACTTAATATATGAAATAAATGAAAAATAATAATATAAAAACTTGATAAGATTAGAATTTGGGAAAAGGATAAAATGACAAACATAAATGCATACTTACCAAAATTGCAAATAAATTATTTATTTCAAATACCAAACTTAATTTCAAAGCAATAATGTTTATACAAACCGTGTTACAAAGTATATAATTTTGTCATGTCAACATCCGAAGTGTGCAAACCTGCCACTTAGGATAATCACGTTTTTAATTAATATATAGAGGGATTTTGGATTAATGCTAAAATATTTTTTCTTAAGTATTCATTTAATAATTTTTGTTCTATAACAAACTTCATGTTTTGGGAATCCTAAGTGAATTTTCTTACACTGGATGTAGTTACTTGGAAAGGGGCAAAGGCAGAAACTCCAGGTTTTAATCCTAATTGGAATCTGTGATAGAGTGGTTTAAGAAAAGAATAAATTTAAATAAATTGAAAAAGAAACAGTTCTAATAGGCGTAAGCGTCGAACTGGAGAGAAACTTCCGAAGATTCCGACTCTATCGTGTCCTCCATTTGATTCGTGATTCTGGTGGGCCGGACCAAGTCATGGAGTTAAGGGTTTAAGAAAAGGACCATATTGAAATACATTTAACTTAATTGAAAAAGGAATTAGCAAACTCATTCAACACATGATAACCCTAACTGATAAGTCAATGTTTGTTTAAATAATAAATAGAGCCTTACAACAACAACAACAACATAACCCTTAGTCCCAAGTAAGTCGGGGTAGACTAGAGATGAAACCCAAGAGAACCATCGGTAAGAGAAACACAAAAAGGGGTTGAAACAAAAGGAAGAGATTGGAGCAAAGAGAAAACAGCAAAAGTTACGGTTCTGGCACGTTGATTGCTAGCCTCCAAGCGCTCCTATCCACCGCTAACTCCTTGGAGATATTCCAATCTTTAAGGTCTTTCTTAACCGACTCTTCCCAAGTGAGTTTAGGCCGACCTCTACCTCTCTTTACGTCTTCGAACCGCTGTAGAACTCCCTTACGCACCGGTGCATCAGGAGGCCTCCGTTGGACTTCCGAACCACCTTATTCGATGTTGAACCAATTTCTTCTCAATTGGAGCCACCCCGACCCTATCTCGAATATCTTTATTCCGGATTCTATCCCTTCTTGTGTGCCCGCAGAACCAACGCAACATACGCATCTCTGCTACACTTAGTTGTTGGACATGTTGCCTTTTTGTAGGCCAACATTCAGCACCGTATAGCATTGCCGGGCGAATCGCCGTCCTATAAAACTTACATTTTAGCCTTTGTCGTACCCTCTTATCACAGAGAACGCCCGAAGCTTGCCGTCATTTCAACCAACCGGCTGCAATTCTATGCCTAACATCAGCATCAATGCCGCCATCCTTTTGTAGCATCGATCTTAAATACCGGAAAGTCTCCTTCTTGGCCACCACTTGCCCGTCAAGGCTAACGTCATCATCATCATGTGGAGTCATGCTGAAAGCGCACGTCATGTACTCGGTATTCGTCCTACTAAGTCTGAAGCCTTTCGACTCTAACGTGTCCTTCCACAACTCTAACTTCCTATTAACCCCTGCTCTACTCTCGTCAACTAGCACCACATCATCAGCAAAGAGCATACACCAAGGGATATCACCTTGTATGTCCCTTGTGACCTCATCCATCACCAAGGCAAATAAATAAGGGCTCAATGCTGACCCCTGGTGTAGTCCTATTTTAATTGGGAAGTCGCTGGTATCGCCCCAACATGTTCGGACACACGTTATCGCATCCTTGTACATATCCTTGATGAGGGTAATGTACTTAGATGAGACTTTGTGCTTTTCTAAGGCCCACCACATGACATTCCTCGGTACTCTGTCATAAGCCTTCTCAAGGTCGATAAAGACCATGTGCAAGTCCTTCTTTTGGTCCCTATATCTCTCCGTCAACTGTCGTATTAGGAAAATCGCCTCCATGGTCGACCTTCCAGGCATAAAACCAAATTGGTTTTGGGTCACACTCGTCACTCATCGTAGGCGATTCTCGATAACCCTCTCCCAGAGCTTCATCGTATGGCTCATCAACTTAATCCCACGGTAGTTACCACAACTTTGAACATCTCCCTTGTTCTTGAAGATCGGTACTAAAGTACTTCTCCTCCATTCATCAGGCATCTTGTTTGACCGAAAAATGAGGTTAAAAAGTTTAGTTAGCCATACTAACGCTCTGCGATCCAAGCATCTCCACACCTCAATGGGGATACCATCAGGGCCCATTGCTTTACCTCCCTTCATCTTCTTCATAGCCTCTCCGATCTCTGCCTCCCGAATTCTCCTCACCACGCGTCTATTGGTATCCTCAAATGAGTCATCCAACTCTAGGGTAGGACCCTCACTCTCCCCATTAAACAATTTGTCGAAGTACTCTTGCCATCTGTCCTTGATCTCCCCATCCTTCACCAGTGGCCAATCCGACCCATCCTTAATGCATTTGATTTGGTTGATGTCCCTTGTCTTCCTCTCCCGAATCCTAGCCATCCTATAAATGTCCTTCTCCCCCTCCTTCGTGCCTAGGCACTGATAAAGGTCATCATATGTCTGATCCTTCGCTACACTCACGGCACGCTTTGCAGCCCTTCTCGCTATTTTATAGCTCTCAATGTTGGTTACACTCTTGTCAAGGTGGAGGCGCTTGAAACACTCCTTCTTCTCCTGAATAGCCCTTTGCACCTCGTCATTCCACCACCAAGTGTCCTTCGCTTTCTGCTTGCTTCCCCTACTCACACCAAGTACTTCTGCAGCCACCTTCGTAACACATGTTGCCATCTTTAGCCACATGTCATCTGCATCTTCTCCTTCTTCCCAATGCCCCTCACTTAGCATCCTATCCCTAAACGTCTGGTCGTTTCCCCTTTAAGCTTCCACCACTTCGTTCTCACGGTCTTGGCACATTTGTCCCGGTGGACACGTGTTCGGAATCGAAAATCCGCCACCAACAGCTTATGCTGGGGGACAACACACTCCCCAGGTATCACCTTGCAATCTACGCAAACGCTTCTATCCTCCCTCCTTGCAAGGATAAAGTCGATCTGACTTGAGTGTCGTCCACTATGGAAGGTCACCAGGTGAGATTCCCTCTTCTTAAAGAGGGTGTTCGCTATCAACAAGTCGTAGGTCATCGCAAAGTCCAACACACCCTTCCCCTCTTCGTCCCTACTACCATACTGGAACCCTCCGTGCACTCTCTCGAAACCTACCTTAGTCGCACCCACATGGCCGTTTAGGTCCCCTCCTACAAAGAGCTTCTCGCTGGCAGACACTGTACTAACCAAGGCATCCAGATCCTCCCAGAATTGCCTCTTTGCGCTCTCACTAAGACCTACCTGAGGGGCATAGGCACTGATCACATTTATGGTCAAATCTCCAACTACCAATCGGACTAGGATAAGCCGGTCGCCTTGCCTCCTAACATCGACAACTCCATCCTTAAGGCTCCTATCGATCAAGATGCCTACACCATTCCTACTCGATGAAGCCCCAGTGAACCAAAGCTTGAAGCCAGTATCCTCCACCTCCTTCGCGACCCTTCCATTTTGTCTCCTGGACGCATAGGATATTTACACGCCTCCTAGTAGCTGCATCGACTAGCTCACGTAGCTTACCCGTTAGGGACCCTACGTTCCAACTACCTATACGGACCCTAATTAGTTCGACTAGCTTCCTTGCCCTTCGCGCCCGTCGAGAGAGATGCGAAGACCCTTGCTCATTTTCCACTACACCCGGGCGCCGATGTAGCGCGCCACTAAGGAAATGACGACCCGGTCCTTGCTCACTTAACACCATGCCCAAACCACGACATGGCGCGTCCTCGAGGGGGAGACGACCCGGCCCTTGCCCATTTGACACCATACCCGGGTTCCGATATGGCGCGTCGCTAAGAGGGTTATGCCCAAACGAATTTCTCATGTGTTTCATCTACATAAAACGGCTAAGTTTTACGTTGGCTCGCCAAGCCTATCACAACCCTCCTCCTTTACCAGGGCTTGGGACCTGCTATGTTGAGACAACATAGGCGGAGTTAATAAATAGAGCCTTAACCCTTAAAATAATCCTAATGGGCACTGTACCCCTACTGGCCCAAAGCTCAATTAATTATTCAATAAAATAAGATCTGCTCTTCTATCAGTGTATGCACTAGCCAAATATTACATTGACGCACGTGTGTTGGCTTAAGACCATCAGAATCTTGGGGTATCTCTTGTTTTATCAGCATTTCTGGTTGGTGGGCTGTAATCATAAGAAAAATTTTCTTCTCCCTCTCTGGTTTAGGTTTTAGCTTCTGGCTTTTAGCCAGTCTAATTGAGTTGTACTCCAGTATGCAGAAAAGCGTTTTATTCACAAACTGAAGGACACCCAACAGAATCTCCTTTCAGTTGCCAAACAGTTGTGGGAAAGTGTGCGATTAAACGATACAAAATCTGTGTACCGGCTGATTGTCACTTGGCAGGTCGACGCCAATGCAGTCCGTGGTCAGGCATCTTTAACTTTAGCCAACGTAATGAGATTGCATGATCACGAGGATTCTGATGACAACGATGACTTCCATGATGTGGTAGATGATAATGATGATGGTGGTAATACCTTTTCGAAACCATCACTGGTGGGCCCACAAGGAGAAAACGAGAACCCGTTTGTCGACGATGAGCTTCGCGACGGATGCTCGTTGCTCCACCTGGCGTGTCAAACGGCTGATATTGGCATGGTTGAGCTTCTTTTGCAGCACGGGGCAAATGTTAATGTTTGTGACTCGAGGGGCCAAACCCCACTGCATCACAGTATTATGAGGGGTAGAATTGGAATTGCAAAGCTGTTGCTCATGAGGTACTTTTTTCTGTTTCTTTCGTGTCTTTTTTTTTTTTCTCAATTTTGTGGTCGACGAATTGAAAGTATAGCACTAAGAAGATGGGTGATTTTAACTTGGTGACTTTTTTCTCTTGAGCCCTTTTAGGTTCTTATGTTGCAGTTCTAATCATACAATTTTGTTTACCCTTTTGATAGATCTTTAGGATGTTTTGTACTTTCTGAGGATAATATTAGTCCTATATCTTTTTGGTGTGGCAACTTAAGTGCTTCTAGTCAATGTAAACAGTTTTTCAAAGTTTTGTCGGGATTTTCAAGATGCGAAGGTCTTCTTTTTCGAGCATCTATTTGGCCTTCAAACGCATTTTGGGAATAATAAATTGGGAATAACATTTCCTTATGAGCTTTGTCATTGTTTGTCTATATCATCTGTGAGAATTTTTTGTTGTATATTTCCTAAAATGGATCAATTTCATAATTTATTCAGGGGAGCCGATCCTGAAGCCATTGACAAGGAAGGTAGAACTCCTTCACAGCACCTTGCAGAGTCCTCCATTGATGATGTCGAGCTCCTTGCCCTTATGAAAAATGCTCATAATCATAGATAGCAGCAGTACTATTTGCTGCTGAGTTACAGCTGGAAACTCGTAATGCAGATCTTGGATGGGTAATATAGTGTGGTTTATGGCGTGACGAGCCTTTTTACCAACAAAAGGCGATGAAAATCTCATCATACCATTGTTTGATAGCTTAAACTTGATTATTTTTCTTTCTCAGAGTGATTTGAGCACTTTCGGCCCATGCCTCATGGGCCTTAAAACTTTTATTTTTTTTCCCTTGAATTGATTGAGAGACGAGAATCGCCCAATGTGAGATGTCCCCTGTATGATATCCCTGTAATTGCAGATCATGTAGGAATAAAGTTCCATGTTGTATAATCGTATAATGTATGTAACTGCTAAGTTATTTGGTCAATCAAAAGAGAAACGGATGTTTGAGTTTGTGGTGGGGATAAAAGCAGTAATAGGATGAGCAATGAACATTAATTATATACTAACGCATGATGCATGTGGAGCTATGGTGATTGTATGTCTACCCGTTTGGAAAAAAAAATAAAATAAAATTATACATTATTAAATATTTATTTGTACACAATATTCTATGTTTGGTTTTTTGGCAATCAACATCACACAAACTAATATTTTTAAACCTTGGCGATTTGTAACGCGAGAAACAACTACACACAACTGATTGTGTCTTTAAAAGGTGTCTTTACATCGTAAGGAGTAAGCATCATCCGAGGAACCAACACCTTATCACCCGCATGATCTCCAGTTAAGCGGATAGCTTTGTAACAACCAATCGAGTCTCATTGCATAACTTCATAGAGATATCCATGCTTCACATTAATATTATTGGTGTTCCTATCTTCAAATGCAACTCATGGTTAGACACTCCCATACATTTGATAGTATTGAAGAACTCAGGCGTGTGGAGATCAGATAAAAAGTCGTTATTAGAATCCGACTTGCACATTTTGTACAATGTACGACCACAAGCCAAATTCAACCCCTTCATGTATTGATTGATGGACACAACAACCTCCAATGTAGGGGCTAGTATAGCTCGGTCCTTCAAATAACTCAGATCATCAGTTGCATCTTTATACATTGGATATGTGTTTTCATCTATTTGTGCTATAGGATCATCAGAGGGTGCAAGCAATATATCATCAGGTATGTCTATAGTTACACATCCATCATTTGAACACCGAATAGTTCCATCTCCAATGCTAGATATCCAATCAGCGGACCGAGTTAACTCTCCACGTTCATTCGTATCACCAAGACTTTGAAGGCGCATGTTTTTTGTTAGCCTCAGAACTGTACAACCTCACCATATGTTAGAAGAATTAATTGCATTAGCAATGTCTGGACGACTCCCATTTGAAATGATAAGAAGGATGTGACGAAAGTCTCCACTAAATACAACTGGCTTGCCTATGGCTTGCAGCTATTTGCTCCCATGATAGCTTGAACGGAGGCTTCTACAACTTGGAAGTAATATTTGTGCATCATTTGAGCCTCATCCCATATTATTAAAGAACAAAGTATTATAAACTTAGCAAGAGGACTTGTCTGATTTATCTCGCACATGGAGTTCTCATACAAAATCAAGGATATGCGAAATCTTGAATGTGCAGTTCTTCCACCAGAAAACAAAAGATAAGTTATTCCGCTTAATGCAACACATAGAACTATCTTCCCTTTAGATCTCAATCCCGTAGCTAAAGTCCTCCACATGTAGGTTTTGCCAGTTTCACCATAACAATAAAAAAAAAAAAAAAAAAAAAAAAAAAAAAAAAAAAAAAAAAAACCACCTCCTATTTGAGATTCAACAATTATCATAATCTTTGAATAAAAGTCGCGTTGTTCATTGTCATACGCGTGAGGAGTGCATCGTGCTCGACAACTAACGCCTTTCGATCATAATTCAGTTCATCCAATATCAAACGATTAGAACTGGTATTAGTACTGTTATTTTCCGGAAAAGGCATAATAGAGAAGTCTTGAAGAGTTGACCCATGTTGCCTCAATAATGTCTCAAGCTCTGTAAGAGCTAAATTTTTTATTTCGTCATAGCTCTACTTCAAACCTAAAAAGATAAAAATCCTTTAGCATAAGAAAAAAAAAAATCAGATAAAGGGACATATAAGCACTGATACATTTTATGGAGATACACATGATAGTATTCAAATAATATGAAGAATGTAAAAAAGACAAATTTGCTTACCATCATTGTTGAAAAGACGACGCTGCTTGTAAAGAATGTCGTCGGATAGAAATTCTCAACACTTTTCCACACTTCCTCGGGTCTACGTACTGACCCAAAAACCAACAAAGGTGTAAACATGCTCCTAAGAGAATCAACCAAAGCCCATTGACTTGCGTCAGTTATTCCATCAATATACTCACGATCATCACCCATGAAACCATGAGCACAACAAGCATCACGATATGACAAAAATTGGACATCAACTATCTTCATATAATTCTCGTGGCAAGTTGCTTCATAGGTGGCATTGATCAAGCACCTCAAATAATAATTATTGCCAGGGCCTGGCATCACGTGCTCGACACATACTATACTATATTGCCCTTCTTTTTTCTAGGTTTTCACTCTCTAGTTTTGGTGTTCCAAACAAATTTAGACGGAGCCTCAACGTAAATAAGTTCCCTTACTATGGAATACTTCTTAATAGCCTCTACCCATGCCAAAAATTGGCGGATGGTCTATTTAGGACATTGTCGATATGCTCATCATCATTAAAAAGGGATCAGGTCAACCAGGTTGACCCAGCCAGGTCAATGTCTGGGGTTGACCGGGTCAAGGCCGGGTTAACCGGGTTTGACATCCGAATAGCCCACCAGGACTGATTCAGGCTCCGGGTCGACCGGGTCCCGAGTCAGCTCGTCGGGCCGATCCGGGTTGAAAAACTATGTTCACGCCTTTAAAGCCGCTAAATTTTAAAATCTTAAATGAGAAAAACAATGTTACGCCTAATTAAAATATTATACAAACTAATTGTTGTCTCAAGATTCCAAAACTTGTGTGTTTTTCATGATCTTCCCTATATGTCCTTATTTATCTTTCTCAATTAAGGTTATGTTTAGTAAGCATATAAGCTATAAGCTAGTTATATCTTATTTGATTAGCTTATAAGCTTCCAGTATTCAAATATGTTTGGTTTGGTAGGATGAGTTTTTTTAAAAAGCTCGAACTTATCTCATAAGTTAATTGAGTAGTTTTTCAAATAAGCCCATTGAATTTTTTTTTTTCAACTAGCTTATCAAGTTATAAACTATCAGTTATAAACTCAAAATTCACTAGAAAACTATAAACTAATTTATCAACAATAGACTAGCTTATCAGCTAAATTTACTAGTTTAAATACTCTACCATGAGAATGGTAATGGAAAATGACAAAATTGGATGGAGGGTGTATAAACTATCTATGTTACCAAATTAATATAAAGTAATAAAATTTGGTGTAGAATAAAGCCACAAAATACTCCACGCAACCTATATTATAGATGAAGAACATGAGTAACTTATTGAGAAATTATTCAAAAGTCAAAACTCCCAATTTTAGACAATAACATGGACAATGGAACACCATATCTGAATACGACAACTGAGTAGAAACTGAATGACCATAAAAATACGAAGATACAATAGAAAGAAAATATATTTTTGGTGAAAGAAATGCTCGGTAAAAGACGGTTCCTTATAGTCCCATTCGTAGTCTTCAACGCATTTTCAGCATAATATTTAAAAAAACCAAATCTCTTATGTCGTTGGGTCCTAGGGTGTTTTACCACCCTTATTGCTGCAGTTTAAATGTGTCTTAAACAAATAAAATCGAATTATTATTTTTGGAGTTTACTAGTACGTAGTCCGTGCGATACACGGAACATAAATGTTAAATGAGTCATTTCTACAGAGCTTGTCTGTTAAGTAGCTCGTGTGATTCACGGGAGATATTAAATTAATAGACAATAGGGCTTGTCAGTTAACGCCTAAAAAAATAATAGAGTTTGATCATCTATTTTTTTACCTCTTTCATCAACGTCATCTTTTTTGTCGAGACATTAAACCTGAGCCTGGTAGTGGTAGCGCTAGACCGTAAATTAATTAATATATTATCTCGTTCACATGTTTATAATAATATAAATTTGATTTCATTATATCTATTTATTCCTTTATATAAGAAAAATAACAATTTTACGTAATATTGTTCCTCGTATAATACTCATATTATTTTATTATAAAATTTATTGTAATAGCATGCTGACCCGTTTATATTATTATAAATAATATTTTAACATATATATTTATTTTTAAATACAAAATAATAATAATTTTACATATTTTGGTTCATCATAATACTCAAATACTAATCTATCAAAAAATCTATTATCATATAATGTCATTATTATTTATAACACTTGTAGAAGTAATATATTTGTTATATAATGATAAATATGTAATGTATATTAATATTATTTAGTGATGTAATTAATTTAAAAAGATATAAGCAGATTTAATGTTTGGTAGGAATGTGATTATATGTAAGTTGAGATAAAATGAAATGTATCAAAAATATTTGCGTATGATATTTTCCTTTAAATGTTTGAAATGAATTTGAAATTCAAATTACAAATCAACTTCCAGTTATTCAAATAATTTTAAAAAAGTTACCAATTGTAGTAAAATGTACGTGACAATATATTATAAATATACATGACGTCAGTAATGTTATGAATCTTTAAGTTCCTAAAATATATATTGTTTAGATATGAAACTAATTAACTTATATGTTAAGATAATATATAAATATATGTGCTGTACGAAATATACACGTGACAAGTTATTATATTTGTTTATATATTGTTTGTATATTTGTTTGTATTGTTTATTATATTTGTATATAAATATATTGTTTATATATTTGTCTGTATTGTACGATAAATTATTATATTTGTTTATATATTATTTAAATATATATTGTTTAGATATGAAACTAATTAACCTATATGTTAAGATAATATAAATAAATATATGTATTGTATGAAATCTTTAACGTGTTTGTTAAAATTTTCCCCTAAAAAATTCAAAATACATTTAGGCATGTTTTGTTTGAAGTTTGAAATTCAAATATGCATCTATATAACAAATTCCATGATTTATGCTAGCATTAAATGCTACTTGATTTTTTATTAAAAAATTAGAAAACATACCAGAAATGCAATGCAATTAATATTCCCTATTTTTTTTCTTACTATTTTTGAAAAATGTTAATTCTTATTATATATATATAGATTTGGCATTATGGATTAATACTTGGCTAGTGATCCGTTAGTCCACACAAATGCTTACAAAAATATTCATGGTTTTGGAATAGTAGTAGATAGATAGAACACTGGACTAATTCAAATTATAAATATATTATAAAAGTTAATAACATTCATATATATTATCAAATTTTCATGTATCACAGGTCAAATTAATCATCTTTTAATGATATTCGATTTGCTATCCATATACATATAAAATGAACATATATTTACCTTTACAAAGAAATAATATTTATCAATTAAAAAAATATACTTATCAAGTTCGTTGTATAATATAAATTAAAAAACTTATAATAATATAATAGAATAAGTTGACAAACGTCATTTCAAATATAAATAGTAATGTAAATTTTTTAAAATTATTTAAAACTTGAACAAAAACTTCTCCTTAAAAAAATAAATTAGGTGCAGTTCTTATTTATTGTACACGGTGTTGGAATTTACTGCTTATCGAATTTATGAAACTACTTATAATTTATAACTGGACAATTATGATATATAATTATATTTATATAAACTACTCTTAACACAACGATTTTCTTGGCAAATCAAAATCTTAAAAAAGCATTATTTATCTCCTAGTCGATTTTCAATTTTCATTGCAGAAGATAAAGTGAATGAGGAAAGAGCATATTCACAACAATGAACAATCCATAAAAGGCAGCATATATTTGGGGTGTTTTGCATGACAAGCATATGAACCCACGTCTCCCTTTTCCACCTTTTATATATACTTAGCTGTGAATTGTAATCATTTGCTTTCATTTACTCATTAAAAATGACAGACAAAAACAACCAAAACAGAAAACCAGAATCTGGTGTCCTCACTTGCCAACTTACGTGGGACGTCCCATAAAACCCTCCAGAAATAAAAGCTAAAGCTCTCATTTTTATCTTTTTTCAATAATCATTATTTGAACCATATACGTATTCATATACTCATACATATACGTATACACTCATAATATTCCCCACTTAAGACGTTGGGAGCTAATCTTAGTGTTGTCACCACTGGCTGATAAAGCCATTTCCTTCTCTCTCTTTTCTCCCCCTTGAAGTGTTTGTGAATTTGTCTGTGTGACTTTTCTTGAATTTTTGGTTTTCTATTTCAGAGGACAAAAAGTGCTCTTCTTTTTCCCTTTCCAACTTACTTTTTTTTTTTTTTTAATTTATTTGATGATATGCTTCCAAGAGTTGATAGCATAGTTTGGAACATGGAAGAAGGCAAAGAGGACGAGCAAGCTTCTTCTTGGTCTCAAAACAGCAACAACAATGGCGGCCCACTCAGAGACAAACCCGAAACCGAAACCGAGACCGAAACAAATCCACTCTCCACATTCAAGTCCATGCTCGAGGCCCAAAATGATGACTGGTACTTGGCCCAGCCACCAACTCATCAGCTTCTCTTACAGCAACTCGATTCATCTGCGTCCTGTTCCCCATCGTCCGTCTCGCTCTTCAACACTCTCGATCCAAATCATCAGGTTAATAGTTATTTTCTCCAGCAAAAATCTGTGATGAGTAATAGTAGTGCAATACCAAACAGCCCCTTGGAGGGAAGCTTTGATCTTGGCTGCGAAAACGGTTATCTCGAAAGTGCTCTGAACAGGGCAGGTGGGCTGTTGGGGGGTGGTTTTAGTGATTTTGGTGATAATTCCCATTTGGGCAACCTTAATTTGTCCTCAACTCCCAATTCTCAGTTTGTGTCCAACAACTTGTTTCAAGGGAATAATTGTAGCTTTGGTGCTTTTGGGTTAGGTGATAACAACAATAGTGATAGTAATATTGAAAATACTAATAATAGTAATTCATTGTTCTGTAATAGGACTAATAAGATTCTAAAGCCACTTGATAATTTCGCCTCGGTTGGTTCACAGCCAACATTGTTCCAAAAAAGGGCTGCCCTTAGGAAGAATCTCGGGAATAGCACTAATAGTGTGAGTCATTTGGGGTCTTTGAATTTAGGGGGTCCTAGAAATCAGATTAGCTTAAAGTCTCCAGCTAGTGCAAGTAATCTGGAATTAATCAGTGAGGAGAATGAGAGGAAAAGGAAAAGTAGTAGTGTGGATGATATGGACGATTTTAGCCTCGATGGTTCTAACCTGCACTATGATTCTGATGATCAATTCTTGGAGAATAGTACTGTGAGTGGTAAAAATGGTGGAAATAGTTCCAACGCTAACACCACACTCACTGCCGGGGATCAAAAGGGGAAAAAGAAAGGACAGCCGGCAAAAAATTTGATGGCTGAGAGGCGGAGGAGAAAAAAGCTTAATGACCGTCTATACATGTTGAGGTCGGTTGTGCCGAAAATAAGCAAGGTACGAAGAATTCTCCGAATTACCAATTTATTTATTATTTTACGATATGTTATTATTCGACATATTTTTAGCCTTGGAGATATTTTTCGTTAGCCATTCACCTTCATTTAGAGGTTTTTTTTTTCTTTTTTTCTTTTTTGGCTTCATATCTTGTTAAGATCTGTTTTGCTAGGTATTACGTAGATTTGTTAATGGTGTATATCGTTGAATGAGTAGAAGTAACTTTGTTTGATTGGGATATATATTGATAGAGAGCCTTGCACATTAAAGTTGACTGATAAAAGCATTTAATTCACTCACATGTAATCTATGAACTGATGTGAAATTGCATCTTGCATTTTGGACCACAGACAAGATTGTGAGGTATTGGTCATTTGGGAGTCACAAATTGGGAAGTAATGACTTGAGAATTTATTTCATTACTATCACACTGAATGAAATTAAATTTTGCATGCATATTAAACGGTAATATTCCGCTAGCCGTTATTTTGTAATGTTTTTTTGCGACTTTAATTTGTATCCCTATCCAGCATGAGGTCCCATCTCTAACATGTACAGTATTTATTATTGATTTTAGTTGTGTTTTCCAATATATTCTTTTGTTCCCTTTTGTATCTTGCACTTGGTTTTTGCGTGATGTAGAAATTTGTGACTGTAAATTTTCCAACAAAATGCATTCAGGAAAACATATATGTACAAAGGAAATATCTAATGGCCTTAGCAGATTTCCTGTCATTGGTCGGCTGAAGAACTCCACTGAAGTTTGGATTTATTGTTTCGAAAAAGTAAAATAACACGCTCACGAACAATTTAGTAGGTGAAGATAAAGACGACACTTATTTGTTGTGTTATGTGCTCCTCAACAGTTAAAGAATAACATGAATGCAAAATATCTCCATTTTGTTGGGTTGTTGGCAGATGGACAGAGCTTCCATACTTGGGGACGCAATCGACTACTTAAAGGAGCTTTTGAAGAAGATCAGTGACCTCAACAATGAACTCGAGTCCATTCCTGGTAGCTCTTCAGCTACTCCCACATCGAATTTTTACCCTGTCACGCCAGCTGGAACCCCTGGCCTACCAAGCCGTATAAAGGAAGAGCTTTGTCCGAGTGCATTTGCAAGCCCATTGTCAAGCCCAACTGGACAACCGGCAAGGGTAAGAACTTAAGTGTTATGATTAAAAAAATAAAATAAAAAAAGAAAATAAAAGAAAACACTACTTTACGATAAATAGCCACATGAAGGGCTAGTTGTAAAACGTTGAAAAATAACAGACACGAAAGCTGTATTTCTGTATTTGTGTGTGAGGAGTGTTACATTAGGGTATAATAATAATGTGTTACAGGTGGAGGTGAGGCTAAGAGAAGGACGAGCTGTAAACATTCACATGTTCTGTGGCCGAAAACCGGGCCTTTTGCTGTCTACTTTGAGGGCTATGGACAGTCTCGGCCTAGACGTTCAGCAAGCTGTTATCAGCTGCTTCAATGGTTTCGCCTTGGATGTTTTTCGTGCTGAGGTATATATCTATGAGTAATGAGCCTAATATTTGCAGTCAAGTTCAACTTTTATTCTCATTTACACAACATGCAAGGGGAGCTCATGCATAATATAATCACTTGTTTTAAATTTACATAGGCAACTGTGTACTTTTAGCTGATTATCATCTCCTCCTACAGACTATAAATATGCTTCCTCTTGATGAATTCCTTCTAATTACCAAGTATTACTCTTGTGATCATAATCTTTTTCGTTTCTTTTTTTTCAGCAATGGGGAGAAGGCCAAGATCTTAATCCTGATCAAATCAAAGCAGTGCTGTTGGAATCTGCTGGCTTTCATGGGATCGTGTGATATGTATTGTCTCACCTTAAGATCGCTGACATTGATGTTCAATTGTGCTAAAGATCGACATATGTTTTCTCTTTATTTTTTGTTTTTACATTTTTTTTTTTCGTTTTTCTTCTCTTGTTTGATATTTTAGTAGGGATGATGCCCAAAAACAACTGAATAGAAAGCTTCAGTTTTTTCTAATTCATTAACGTAAAAATTTCAACACTAGTCTCACGGGTGTCATTTTTAATTTTTTGTCCTGACGAAATAGAGAAAATCAAAATAGTTCCACGTTTTCAAAAATTAATCAAAAGTTGTTTTTATAATAATTTAAGAAGCTAAAAGAATAACTATTATAAATATCACAACAAGATTTCATTTTTACAAGATAATCCCTCATAGGCATTCCATTTTTCCTTAGAGATTGCAAAATAATCCCTCAAAGTATTGATGAATGTTGGATTTTTTTAAAAGCATATAAAAATTAAAATATAACTAGATAATCATTAAAAAAAATTAATAATTAAGAATCTACGGAGATTCGGACCGAACCAAACCGGATCGAATTGTTCTGACAGTCCCGAATACCGAACCGAACCAAACCGAAAAATAAAAATCTCCGAACTTAACCATCTCGATTTTTTGATACAGTTCCGGAGATTGAATTTAGTGATCTATTTTGGTACGATTCTGGAGATTTGTCCATCTCCGAACCATACTGATCCATGCTCACTCCTAGCTGTGAACGCTTGTTGCTTCCAAATAAGGAAGTTGCTCCCATCAAGCTTCACTGAAATGAGCTGACTATGAAAACAAATAATTTATGACTAAAACTGACATAAAAGCAAAGGATAAGACACATTTAAAGTTATAGTTCGATTCTTAATTCGGTACGGTATGAAACGGCTCAGTTTTGTCCTCAGTACGAATATTTATGAAATATCCAGAACAACACCGATTATTTTTTGGTTCAGTTTGTTCGGACAAAATCAAACGGCCAACGCTTATTTTTCGATTCAGAGTTATTTCAGTTCATTTTCCGGAATGGTTCGGTCCGAGCAGGCGCAGAACCATGGAGACATCTCTCGGCAATGACGCAACATCTTCGACAACAAAGCATATAACTAATGTGAATAATTTTTAAAAAATTAAAATATAATTATAATGAAATGTTAATATACTTTATTAACTTTCAATTTTTGCGCATCTTCTTATTATTGATTTGTTTTGAAACCACTTTTAACAAATTACAAAATATAGAAATAAACTATAGCTTTTAGTTAAGACTATACTTATTTGTGAAACCAAATTGTAAAATTTGAACTCCTAATAAAATGTATATGATCTTTTTTTTTTGTACTTTTAAATATCATTTAAATTGTAAAATAGAAAACAACTGACTTGTAACCTAAAAAGATGATGATGATAGATGATGATGATGATGATGTAATGGGCTAAAGAGAAAATTTTAAAACTAGTCTCACAAGTGTACGGGTGACATTTTTTGTCCCGACTGAATGGTGAACATAAAAATAGTCCCACAACTTTTTGATGTCGGATTTACTATTCTTGGACCAGAAAGCCACATCGCGCATGTTGAGGTTTTTCTTGACACGTTGGCGTCAATCATCACATGTGAGATTAGTTTTTGAAATTTACTATTATATTGTTATGCTTTTCTTTTATTATAAATTATGTATATATTAATTAATATAAATATATTATTAAGTAAGCCATGACAATCATTATGAATATATATAACTATTTATTATAGCTATTTACATTCGATTTCGATTATGAATAAGGATATAATATGCATTAAAATGAAATTAAAAATCATTTTAATTACTTATATTTTGTGATGTGTTATTTTTAATAGTTATTCTTTTAGCTTCTTTTTTAATATTAAATTATTATAAAAACTATTTTTGATCAACTTTTGAAAGTTGTGGGACTACTTTAATTTTCACTAAGACAAAAAATTAAAAAATGTCACCCGACACCTGTGAGACTAGCGTTGAAATTTTTACGTTAATAAACTGGAAAAAACTAAAAACTTTCTAGTCTCAGTTGTTTTTGGGCATCATGCCTACTAAAATACCAAACAAGAGAAGAAAAAAGAAAAAAGAAAGCAAAAACAAGAATATAAATAAAAAACAAATGTCTATCTTTAGCACAATTGATGTTGCTGGAAATTTTAACTACCCTATTTGATCAAAGCTTGAACATGTCAGTGATCTTAAGGTGAGAATACACATCACACTATCCCATGAAAGCCAGCAGACTCCAAGAGCACTGCTTTGATTTGATCAGGATTAAGATCTTGGCCTTCTCCCCATTGCTGAAAATAAGAAACAGAAAAAAAATTATGATCAAAAGAGTAACACTTGGCAATTAGAAGGACTTCATCAAGAGGAAGCATATTTATAGTTTGTAGGAGGAGATGATAATCAGCTAAAAGTACACAGGTGCCTATCTAAGTTACCAATATGTAAATTACAAACAAGTGGTTATATTATTGCATGAGCTCCTCTTGCATGTTATGTAAATGAGAATAAAGTTGAACTTGATTGAAAATATTATGCCTATTACTCATAGATATATACCTCAGCACGAAAAACATCCAAGGCGAAACCATTGAAGCAGCTGATAACAGCTTGCTGAACGTCTAGGCCGAGACTGTCCATAGCCCTCAAAGTAGACAGCAAAAGGCCCGGTTTTCGGCCACAGAACATGTGAATGTTTACAGCTCGTCCTTCTCTTAGCCTCACCTCCACCTGTAACACATTATTATACCCTAATGTAACACTCCTCACACACAAATACAGAAATACAGCTTTCGTGTCTGTTATTTTTCAACGTTTTACAACTAGCCCTTCATGTGGCTATTTATCGTAAAGTAGTGTTTTCTTTTATTTTCTTTTTTTATTTTTAGTTTTTTAATCATAACACTTAAGTTCTTACCCTTGCCGGTTGTCCAGTTGGGCTTGACAATGGGCTTGCAAATGCACTGGGACAAAGCTCTTCCTTTATACGACTTGGTAGGCCAGGGGTTCCAGCTGGCGTGACAGGGTAAAAATTCGATGTGGGAGTAGCTGAAGAGCTACCAGGAATGGACTCGAGTTCATTGTTGAGGTCACTGATCTTCTTCAAAAGCTCCTTTAAGTAGTCGATTGCGTCCCCAAGTATGGAAGCCCTGTCCATCTGCCAACAACCCAACAAAATGGAGATATTTTGCATTCATATTATTCTTTAACTGTTGAGGAACACATAACGCAACAAATAAGTGTCGTCTTTATCTTCACCTACTAAATTGCTCGTTAGCGTGTTATTTTACTTTTTGGGAATAATAAATCCAAACTTCAATGGATTTCTTTATGTGTTGTGTGCGCAAGTGCCTTTGTGAGGGAAAAATCCGTAAGGCCAGTCGACCAATGACAGCAAATCTGCTTAGGCCTTTAGATATTTGCTTTGTATATATATGTTTTCCTTAATGCATTTTGCTGGAAAGTTACAGTTTCAATTTTCTACTTCACGCAAAAACCAAGTGCAAGATACAAAAGGGAAGAGAAGAATATATTGGAAAACAGAACTAATAACAATAATAAAATACTGTACATATTAGAGATGGGACCTCATGCTTGACAGGGATACAAATTAAAGTCGCAAAAAACATTGCAAAAGTACGGCTAGTGAAATATTACCGTTTAATATGCATGCAAAGTTTAATTTCATTCAGTGTGACAGTAATGAGATAAATTCTCAAGTCATTAATTTACTTCCCAATTTGTGACTCCCAAATAAACAGTACCAAAATCTTGTCTGTGGTCCAAAATGCAAGATGCAATTTCATATCATTTCATATATTCCATGTGAGTGAATTAAATGCTTTTATCAGTCAACTTTAATGTGCAAGGCTCTCTATCAATATCTATCTCAATCAAACAAAGTTACTTCTACTCATTAAATGATATACACCACTAACAAATCTACTTAATACATAGCAAAACAGATCTTAACAAGATATGAAGCCAAAAAAGCAAAATAAAAAAACCTCTAAATGAATGTGAATGGCTAACGAAAACTATCACCACGGCTAAAATTATGTCGAATAATAACATATCATAAAATAATTCACGGGAAAATAAATTGGTAATTCGGAGAATTCTTTGTACCTTGCTTATTTTCGGCACAACCGACCTCAACAAGTAGAGACGGTCATTAAGCTTTTTCCTCCTCCGCCTCTCAGCCATCAAGTTTTTTGCCGGCTGCCCTTTCTTTTTCCCCTTTTGATCCCCGGCAGTGAGTGTGCTGTTAGCGTTGGAACTATTTCCACCATTTTTACCATTCACATTACTATTCTCCAAGAATTGATCATCAGAATCATAGTGCAGGTTAGAACCATCGAGGCTAAAATCGTCCATTTCATCCACACTACTACTTTTCCTTTTCCTCTCATTCTCCTCACTGATTAATTCCGGATTACTTGCACTAGCTGGAGACTTTAAGCTAATATGATTTCTAGGACACCCTAAATTCAAAGACCCGAAATTACTCACACTATTGGTGCTATTCCCGAGATTCTTCCTAAGGGCAGCCCTTTTTTGGAACAATGTTGGCTGTGAACCAACCGAGGCAAAATTATCAAGTGGCTTTAGAATCTTATTAGACCTATTACAGAACAATGAATTACTATTATTAGTATTTCCAATATTACTGTCACTATTGTTGTTATCACCTAACCCAAAAGTACCAAACCCACAATTATTCCCTTGAAACAAGTTGTTGGACACAAACTGAGAATTGGGAGTTGAGGACAAATTAAGATTGCCCAAATGGGAATTATCACCAAAATCACTAAAACCACCTCCCAACAGCCCACCTGCCCTGTTCAGAGCACTTTCGAGATAACCATTTTCGCAGCCAAGATCAAAGCTTCCCTCCAAGGGGCTGTTTGGTATTGCACTGTTACTACTCATCACCGATTTTTGCTGAAGAAAATAAGTATTAACCTGATGATTTGGATCGAGAGTGTTGAAGAGTGAGACGGACGATGGGGAACAGGATGCAGATGAATCGAGTTGCTGTAAGAGAAGCTGATGAGTTGGTGGCTGGGCCAAGTACCAGTCATCGTTTTGGGCCTCGAGCATGGACTTGAATGTGGAGAGTGGATTTGTTTCGGTTAAGATTTCGGGTTTGTCTCTGAGTGGGCCGCCATTGTTGTTGCTGTTTTGAGACCAAGAAGAAGCTTGCTCGGCCTCTTTGCCCTCTTCCATGTTTCAAACTATGCTATCAACTCTTGGCAGCATATCATCTAATAAAATAGAAGTAAGATGGAAAGGGACAGAGAAGAGCACTTTTTTGTCCTCTGAAATAAAAAACCAAAAATCAAGAAAGTCACAGAGGCAAATTCACAAACACTTCAAGGGGGAGAAAAAGAGAGAGAAGGAAATGGCTTTATCAGCCAGTGGTGACAACACTGAGATTACCTCCCAACGTCTTAACTTTCTACTGTATGCTGATGATATATATAGAGAGATAAGGACCGTAAATGGGGAATATTACGAGTGTATACGTATATGTAGGTGTATGTATGGGTTCAAAATAATGATTATTGAAAAACAAAATGGGAGCTTTTGCTTTTCTTTTTGGAGGGTTTTATGGGACGTCTCACGTAAGTTGGCAAGTGACGACACCTGATTCTGGTTTTCTGTTTTGGTTGTTTTTGTCTGTAATTTTTAATGAGGAAATGAAAGCAAATGATTACAATTCAATAAGTATAAAAGGGAGACGTGGGTTCATATGCTATTGCTTGTCATGCAAAACACCCCAAAAATATGCTGCTTTTTATGGATTGTTGTGAATCTGCTCCTTCCTCATTCACTTTATCTTATGTAATGAAAAATGATAATCGATAAGGAGATAAATAATGCTTTTTTAAGATTTTCATTTGTCAAAGAAAATCTTTGTGTTAAGAGTAGTTTATCCACATAATTCGTTGAGCTTAAGTGACATGCTCTCACGTTTCGAAATTATATAAGGCAAAATACAGTGCTTCAGATTCGGACTCAGATATAAATTAATATTTTTTATATAAAATAATTAAGTTTTGGATTTCATTGAATGTCTATACATCCATATTAAATTCTAATTGATTTTTTTCCTTCTTTTATTGTACAAATGTTTATTTTTATCATTTTTTAAAATTTTATAACTTTTTTGGTTTGTATTTTATTTTTATATATGATATATCAAATTATTTATTTTTTAACAATATTCGATTTGACATCTATATTATATATACAAAATATAAAAAAGTGATATATAGTCTTATAAATAAAATTTAAAATTATTAATCAAACTAAATTAACATATATCAAATAAAATTATATTTTATCTCATAAAGTAATAAAATTTTATGTGTATTAACATACTATAATATAGCCATTTTATTTAAAAAAATTAATAAACTAAGTATGAACATCAAATTAACATAGAAAAAATATTTTAAAAGTTATGTCTGACTTAAATACAGACTACACAAAAACATTATGATCGTGAAAAAAAAAAGTAATAAATATTATATTTAAAATTATAAAAATAATTATTTTATTTCATAAAATTTAAAATATTACACTCATACATATTATATTTTAAATTGTTTAACATTATAAAGAATTGTATCAAGGAGAAAAATTGTATAAATATAAAGTATAATTACAATATAATCAAACTTGGAAAAAAATTAATTCAAAATCAAATTATTGAGTTGTGTGTGTGTGTGTATATATATATATATATTAACAATTTGGGTATAAAATAAGAATATTAATTTAAATAATTATTTTTATTATTTTTAGTTATCTATATCTATATAATTACTAGCTAATGCATTTAATAAAATATTTAATAAAACTTATTTTCATTTCCCTCTAACAGGAGTTACATTTTTTTAATTAATTACTCACTAATCTGCTAAAACCGTTACACCTTAATATATAGAATTTTATTATTTATCTTTTGGATCAGTTACTAAATTAATTCTAAATTTGGTAGAAAAATATTCAAATGTGTAACGGCTAATGTTGGAACTTAAAGTTGATTGGCACATAAGAGCTGTAACCGTTATATTTGGTTGCATTGTTGGAAGAAAAATATGATTGGCACATATTTTTTTTTTTAAATTAGAAATACCAATAATTTTTTTTATTTATGTTAACTTTCTTAATATATGCCACAAATATATAAATTATTTTATTCATGTTACTAATGTAAACGTTGCATGGTTAAAATAAAAATTAAATCTCAATTAATTTTGAATTATAAAAATAACTTAAGAAAAAGTAATAATTTTTATATGATAGAAGTACATGTCTAATTAACAAATACAAACAAAAACGTGTTTTATATCTGTGCAAATGCACATGATCAAATACTAGTTAGTTGTATATTTAATAACTCTTTGAGCAGAACTCTTTCATCTCTTTCTGATAGTAACTTGAGCGTCGGAGGCTCTATGCCGGAAACACATTCGGCGTTGAGTTCTTGCAGGTGTTTGCGAAGGTCTAGAGGCGATTTGAAGGCGGTTCAAACAGGTCAAAGCTCATCTCACTCGGTTCACTCCAGATCTAGTAGGAGATCCATCACTAATAGTCTCCCAAAAATTTATATAGGATTAAATTTACATATATATTATAATTTATTTGAAATAAAAACAAATAAAAAATGATATATTTAATATAAATTAAATTGTAACGCGAATAATTGAAGATAAATTTGAATTTTGACTTAATCTACCATAAGTAGAGTAGATGAAAATAGAATTTTACTCTAGAGTACAACACAACAGAGGGATGAAATTGCTCTTTGTACCAAATGTACAATCCTGCCCTCAGGTACCTAGGGGTGGCCAAATAGTGGGCCAGTTCTAGGCCCGGCCTGGCTGGTCACCGAGCTTCAAAAGATGGACCCGAAACTGGTCCGCTATATCTAAGGCCGGTTAAAATGAACCGGTCCGTTTAATAAAAAAAATAAAAAATATTACCACCTGTCTTTCGACTCAGAAACAGCNAAAAAAAAACTATGACCCAGAACTGGCCCGATTTTTCAAAGGTCCAATTTCAAGACCCGTAAGTTTGGGCCGATTCTGAGGCAGTTCCGGGCTGATTCCAGACCGGTTCGACGAGCCGGGTCAACCTTTCCCACCTCTACATGTACCAATGTGCACCAAGAGAACTCGCCAAGCGACCACACGAAATATTTTGTACCCGACAGCAGGGTATTGGACCCCCGAAATCAACGTTTGGAAGAAATTCATCTCAGGCCGCAAAAAGAAGTTTGACTTAATCTAGTAAGCCGATCTAACGGCTCTCATAAACCTATTGCGGATATTTTTACGTGTATGGCGGTGCACTGTAGTCCAGAAGCTGGGGCATAGATAGGAAAAAAGAAAAAAAAAAGGAGAAGCGTGCAAGACTAGATAAATCCAGGTGAAGGCAAATTGTTATCCTCCACATCTATCTATCTATCAATATATCTGTATCTGTCCTGCCCACCGTCCTCCGTTTCAATAATATAGCCGAGCATTTCAGGGCCTCCCTGATTTCGCTCTTTTTTATCCATTAATCTCGTTTTGTTATTCATTTTTAGGTGAGTTGTTCTTTGTTTCTGACCTGGGTTTTGTACTTGAGCCTGCAGCTTAAGTTATGGGTTTTACAAATTAATTCGAGTTTGCGCATGTTTTTGAGAGTGGACGCGAGATCCTAATTCGATAAAGATTTGATTTTGATGAGTAACTAGCGTAAATTTTGTAATTTGGGTTGATGTTGTTCTTGAATTGATAAATTATGACTATTTTGTAATTGTATTACAAGTATTTCTGCTCCGGGAATGAGACCTGAGATTTTCGTTGTTCAATGTTTGATTGTGTGTTTTTTGGTATATTGTAGAAGTAGTTATAAGTTATGTTCTTGTATGAAGTTATGTTGTTGTTCTCTTTTCCCGTGCACACATGAAGGTACTTGTGCATTCTCTAATGGGTTAGTACTTGCTTTGTAATTTTTCACTTACAGTTTTAGAACATGCTTGTCTTTTCTTTCAATGCTCAGATATGTGTGTTTTGATTTACTTGTTGGATGATAAAGTGGTTTGGATCTGAATTTTTGCATGTAAAATTGTTGTTATGTTCATTATTACTAACACTCACACAAGTTTCTTCTGTTCTTGTGTCAGGATGGCATGAATTTGGCAGGTTATCTTGTAGATCTTTTGTAACTTGTACCATACATATCTGAAATTTGAACTAGGACACCTGTTATGTTATTCACATGAAAGATTGGATTCAATTTGTTATTTACATTTTTAATTGATTGTTTCGTAGGTGCACTTTGGTTAATGTCCGCGACACATTGACACTCTAGTTCATAAGAATACTATCTGGAATGTTAGAAACAATTTTTAAGGCCATTGTCTCATCTGACCTTATACGTCTGTTAGTTTT